TCAGTCAAGCACTTTGATAGCTAGTCAGTCAGCCAGTTAACCATCAGTCAGTTAACCAGTCAGTTATCAGTCGATTAACATGGCAGTCAACCTGGTTTGCAGCCAAACAGCTAAGAGTGGGTAGGTCAACAAGACAGTCAGCAAGCCAGTCACTTGTCAATTAGCCAGTCTCTACCAGTCAGCAAGGCAGTTAACCAGTCAGTCAGCCGGTCAGGTGCCAGCCAGTCAGTCAAACACTCAGTCAGTCTGATTGGTTAATTAAGCGGGTGGTACCTGAGCTGCTGACTGACTAGTTTACTAACTAACTAAGTTAATGGCTCGAGAGCTACTGACTGACAGGTTCACTTAGTGACTAATTTAAACGGTTAGTGCCTGATTGTCGGGTTGACTATCTCACTGGTACCTAACCGGCTGACTGAGTGGATTACAGAATCACAGGTACCTGACTTGTCATCTGACTTGTTGACTGACATGCTGTCCGACTAACGGCGGGCTAATTGACTGCTGATGGACTGCTTAACTAACTGGTTGGTACCTTAGCGGCTGACTGACTGAATTAATGGCTCCTGACTAACTGACTAACTGCTTGACTGAATCACTGGTACTTCACTAACCATCTGACTTGTTGGCTGACGTGCTGACTGACTAACCACGGGCTAATTAAAAGGTCACTGACTGTTTAACTGGTCAGGAAACAGATCAGTCAGCCACTCAGGCAACCAGTCAGTAGGTTGGTCAGCTACCACTGAGTCAGTCAACCAATTAAACAGTCAGTCACCAGTTAATTAGCTCTGCGGTAGTCAGTCAACACGTAAGCGAACAAGTCAGACCCCAATCAAGTACCAGTGAGTCAGACAAGAAGTTATTCAGTCAGGCAGAGGCCATTAATTCAGTCAGTCAGCCGCTCAGGTACCAACAGGTAAGTTAAGCAGTCCATCAACAATAAATTAGCCCTGTCATTAGTCGGTCAGCATGTCAGTCAACAAGTCAAATGCCTAGTCAGGTACCCGTGAGTCAGTCAACCACGCAGTCAGCCGGTTAGGTACCAGTGAGTTAGTCATACCGTCAATGAGTCACTAATCATTTAAATTAGTCAGTCAGTCAACCAGTCAGTCAATAGGTCCGGAGCTTTTAACTCAGTTAGTTAGTACACCAGTCAGTCAGTAACGAAGGTGCCAACCGGCTAGTTAACCAATCAGTCACCAGTCAATTACCCCGTCGTCAGTCGTTCAACATGTAAGTCAGCAAGTAAGATGGCTAGTCAGGTACCAGTGACTGGGTGAGTTACTCAGTGAGCAAATTAGGTACCAGTGTGTGAGTGAACACGTCAATCAGTCACGAAGCGTTTAAATCAGTAAGTGATTAAACCAGTCAGTCAGTCCGTTAGGAGCCACTAACTCAGTTAGTTACTGGTGACTCACCAGCT